ATATGAAGGCATTGCAGGCTGACGGTTTCTGTTACAGCATGAAAAAGCAAGTGCATCAGAGTATATGTTGGTTAGAGAGATTTTTCATGCAATACGACAATTGGAATAATTGAACTTACAATGCAAGTATAATGATATGTTCTGTCAGCTACAAAGCCTACCTTTTTTTTTTCTTTGTTGTAATCTCCATGGTTAAGCAGTTCTGTGTAACTGATATTTTGAAAATAAAATACAGAAATTGAGAGATTAACTAGAAGTGTCTGAAGAAAGGAGGAAGGTGTTTAAATGCCAGGCTGGAATCAGATGTGTTTAGCTGAAGTTCCTGTCTCTCTCTAGCAGATTAAGCCAACATCTATGCTGCAGTACTCACAGGAAATCATTTAGTCGGAGGATTAAAGTCACTGGATGTCTTGGAATGTTTTTGACACTGCAGTAGGAACATACAGCAAAAATTAAATAAATTAATCAGTTAACGAAGGTACTAGCGAGCAGAGGTCCCTCTAATGAATGCGTAAATGACTTCGAACGTTGCACAACAAGCCTACCATCACAAGACAGAGAGAGAAGCAAGAAGGAGCCTTTCTAACCTGTTCTCAGACTACAGGGTGACACTTTAGGGCCTACACTCATATTTTCTGGGTTCTAGTACTACGCATGAAATTAGCAGCACTGAAATATCTTCTCTGCAGAATTAAGGATGCCTCCTTTAGAAATGCTTAACCCTCATTCTAAGTAGTTTCTCTTCAAACAGCCACATTTACTTCTCTTTTATCTGACTGGAAGGATAGGAAATGTAAGCCTCTTACAACATTAACACTTTCTACTTGAGTAAGGGCAGAGGCGGTTTCAGGGGTAATCCTAGCAATTGCCTACAGCCTCAGCCATAGGGGAGCCCTATTATATGAAGCTAACTAGCAGTGCAAGTCATCTAGGCTGAGATTTATCTCATGTAAATGTACTAATCTACAGTGTAGTTGTTTGCATATGAGACAGTCATCAGCACTTCATTTATAGCCAGTGACAAGATATAGGTGACGAGGACACATTTCTTCTCTACCTAAGGCAGATGTCTAAATTGATTAGAGGAATTGTGTCCTTGAAGTGCTTGTTTATCTCTATGGACTAGAAAAGGAGTCTGGACAACTAGCTCAAATGTAGACAGCCATACTTGTGACACGTAAAATTAGGTAAGATGAAACTTACCCCTTAGCATGTGAGTGAGAAAAGCAACCATATTCTCGGAGGGAAATGCCAGTCCTGACTGAGGATATATATTTTTTACTCTCTGTTGAGTGTTGTTGAGAATTTTGAAACTCCTCAGCCTTTATCGATAGCAGGGATAGGAGATCTATTGAATTTACAAATTAGATAAAAAGATCTGAGAGCCAGAGTCAAACACTTGGCCCTGAAGCAATGACAACCCTGCCCAGACAGAGCAAACAGGAGAGAGAGACCCTTTCTGTAGCTGTTCATGAAAACTTTAGCAGTTTGTCTCGAGACTTCCAGAGCCTAAATCTAAGGAGATTCAGATGTGTTTCTACTATTAAAATTACAATTTTAAAAATCTCCATCACAGTATCTAAGATTTATAGAACATTTAAAAGCCCCAAAAGTTGGGGGTGGCTTTTGGCCCTTCCAAGGGCCAAAGGAAGGTGTACTTCTCTCTCTGCCTTTCCAAACAGGGGTACATGAAATTTTCCTTTGCAGGATTTTCATTATTTTATTTTATTTAATTTTAAGAGTTTTCACACTGGACTCAGGCTTCGTTAGAAAAATCTTTTTCTCTCTCATAGGTTTGAACTCTTTCAGGCTCAGTCTGATCTTTTCTGGGAAGAATTGTCTTGTCATGAAAGGACAGTAGTGGAGCAAAGCAGATATTCTCAGCTAAGTGAGTGGAACATATCATTTTGCTCAAGTTTGTATTACAACTTCCAAATGTTTCTGTACTCCTAAAAACAGAAAGAAAAAATCACATTAAAAATGACAGGTTATAAAAGGTGGAGTGCCACTGCCAGAGGAGGAGGAAATGGCTAGCCTAGAGGTCACAGAGTGTCAGGGACAAATTAAAAGAATATAAGAGAAACAGTACAACAAGAGAACAGTGGAGTCACAACTGTTTTTTTCATCATGTCTCAGGCCAAGTCTAGAAAAAGGAGAGGGAGGGACAATTATATCAGTGAAAGAGAACATCGTGAAAAAAGATTATGCATGTTCCGCGTCTCCCAGTTCTGAAAAAATCTCCTTGGACACACTGACCTAATCTTACAAATAACATTAATGACCAATTTCACAACTTAGAGGGGTTGTTCCATTTCTCTTACATTATTTCCAGGAGTTCTGGAGAACAGAATTCTCTTTAATCAAAAAAATAGGATGAGAATCTGAGGGACAGGAGAGAGAAAGAATTCAAGACAGGTATGGATGCATTCTTGTTGGCCTTGCAAAATTCAGATTATATCTGAAAAGCTCAGTAGAATTCACTGAGGTAAAAACGCTTTCCTTTTTCCCCTCACCCCAAAATTATGTGTCTTTGGCCTTTTGCAGTGGCACTAGAGTGTTAAGAGGCTTTGTCTCTTCTGCAGCTCCTCAGTAATCCAACAGAAAAGCCACACTCTCCTTGCTTCTTCCATTCACAGACATATTTTCTAATTAAAAAAATCAAAGGAAGGGAGAAAGATATCTCTAAATTACAGGTAAATAGAATATAATCTTCCACTTGTAGTTAAAAGCAAAAATTTAAATTTCCTAAAAATCCCTGAACATTCTCTCCTATCTTTAGCTGTCTGCCTGCCACTGTTTCCTTGAGGGAAACAAAATACCAGTTCACAATTAGACCTTCACCTCGTCCACAGAGCCTACGCCATCCAACATGGTAAGAAATAAAACTTTAGCTTACTTGATCAGCCCCACAGCTCCAATATTTGAGTATTGATAGTATGAGTGAATAGTCACAATGAGCATTCACTAGCAAGCCACAACTTGCACAAAATATGAATTAAACAGTTCACAGAAAATTTATGACTGGGTGAAAGAGCTGCCTTTGACCCCAGAATAAATCCTTTCCATTTATTGATTCATCCACCTCTACTGGAGATGATTACTTTCTATTTTACAGGATTTAATTTAACAGTTACTTCTGGGGTAGAAATCTTGTGCTCATCTGAAAGCTGTTCATACTTGCTATGGGCTTTCACATATAGTTCTTTGTGGTTGTTAAGCTGTAAGTCCTTAGTAAAGGATTTACTGTTTCAGGAACTGAAATTTTTGTAGATTTATGTTATGGTATATCTATTATGGGATAATTTTGAGCTAGTTGCTTCATTTGCTGAGTGCTGAAATCTGTTCCAGAACAATAACTGTTCCAGATAGTCAGTTACAGACATTCCTATCATTCATTATCTATTACACAAATACTAGAGGAAAAAGGCTGAGATTCATGCTATGGCCATTGCTGTAGGCCTCCGATAACATTAAGGTGTTATGTCTCATGCACTGAATATTTCACAAGGTGTTCCAATATTTTATTTCTTATGAAAATACAACCTTTAGAGTTTGAATGTTAAAAAAGCAATTAAAAATGTAATTTTGTTGTGTAGTGAATAACAGCTTTTTAAAGGGTAGTATTCTCTGAAATAATTTTAATGTTAACTTTTTCTAATGCTTCCTCTTCCCAGTGTTTTTGATTGCTTGAAACCTTCCCCTGAATATTCATGCTGCTCTAGAAGCTGGATGCATTGGCAGTGTTTCCTTTCAATGCAGAAAAAATCAGCAAAGCAAACAAAATTCTCAAGAAAATAGAAAGAAGGATACAAACAGAGAAATATGTGGTAACTTGTGGTTAGCTCACTTCCTCAGCGTGTGGGAACACTGAACTTTGATCTCTGCTATGTCTGACACGGAGTAGGACTGGAAGCCTCTGCTTTCCAGGTGAGTACCTTAACTACTAGCTATTTTTTCTTGGAATTTTAATCTTTCTTACTTTCTTGTTTTGTTCAGAAGTTCTGTTTTAGAATTAAGAAATAAGTTTAATATGAATCAATATTTTCTGAGGAAAAAATGTGTGTTGGAGAACCTCTGATGACCTCCATTTTAGTCATGAGGTCCTACCTGTGCAGGGAATTGGTGGTCTGCTGTTTGTATCATTCAAATGATGCAAACTAGCGACTAAAAACTTGCCTGTAGATAATTAGTGTTTTTAACTAGATTCACAGCAAGCGAAGCACTTCCTGTGCCAGTTTCTACACTACTGTTTTAGATGGCCAGCAAATAAAAGCAGATGATGTGTCCAGAAATCAAAATACTTCTTTTGTTTAAGTGCAACATATTTCCTCCAATATGCTGCTACTGAACACGTTAGAAAACTGCCGTCTTGGGGAAGGAAAAAATAATTCTGTTTGACTGATTAGCTTTAGTTATGAAGGAGAACAGTTCACCCACAGCCTCACATGCAGTATGGAGTATTGCACACTACTCACTAGGTAACTTCACAGTGAAATCAACAGGCAGTGTATCTGTTTGTCTTGCAAAGCTGTGGTTTTTTTCTCTTCAGAGAGTGCAATGCTGAAGAGAATCTCACTATTTTATTATGCTTGCTGCTTCTTAATATTTCTAGTGTGTTAATTTCCGAAGGTGAATTTTCTGTATAGAGACAGCTCAAGGCTTTTCAGCAGTGTAGGCAAACTTGAATTTTGCCTTCCCACAGTTAAGGACAAAAATAGATTACCATTTTCATCCTCAGAAGTAGCAACATTCAGTTTAGCAGTAAAGGCAGAATGGGGTTGCAAAATGCGGATGGGGGTTGGGAAGGCTTCAGTGAGAAGTTTCAGGAGATTCCCATGGGAAACATTAAAACCTACCGTGGACAGGAAGGAGTGCTGTCTCTCTGCTCTGGATAAGACCTTTTCCAATCTCACTGAGGGGCTGAAACGCCAAGCAGACGTTGCAGTGCGTGTAGTGTTGGAGACGGTACGTGATGGGGTGCTCCCAACTCTATTAAAAAGGCCATACTTTGCCAGGAGAATGAAATGAACGTGACACCCAAACTCATTCCTCTGGAGATGAAGATAGAGGTTCCAGGCTCTATTGCAGCCACAGAGGAGTGTCATGAGCTGTGGGAGAAAAGCAGGAGCATGGAGGGACCAAGCAGGTAGGACTAGCCACAAAATGAAAAAGAGTGAGGTTGAAGCCAGGCAAACAAACTTGGAGGCAGATGACTCATCTATTGCTATCGTATTTTTCCAAGCAGCTGCTCGTGTCCGTAGCCAGCTCTATCTCTGTAAGGTGTTTTGCCCCTCATGTTTTACCCTTTTGTATAAACACTGAGTGTGAGCCTTTCTCTGAGAATAACGTGATTGTTCAAATACAACTGCCGAAGGTCTGGATGTAGCATGTGTAATACCAGTCATATAGCAGGAAGATCTGAGTTTGCAACACTGTTTCTGTGCTAGTCCTTGGCCTCCTGCATACAGCAAAGTAGAAATAATAAAGTGTTGTCGTCAAAAAGGCAGGATATCAGAAAGTTGTTTCTGCATAATAGTTTTAATAGTGTGAGAGTGCGTAAGAGCAGGCTTTCAGATAGCTACAGATTTTGAGAGACTCCTTCATTTTCTGGGTGGGGAGGTGAGCCCACAACTTTTGCTCAACAGTACCAAGACTCTTCCAGGACACAAGCTGCTTTGGTGTGCCTTTCCCAATATTCACAATGTTCTTTGTGCACAGTGGGACAAAGTGCATTGTGGGAGCCCAGTGGGATTCAGTAGTGTATTTGGTCTCTTCCCAGGACAGCCATTTTTGAACTTACTCTAGCAAAAGAATGGGTATTTAATCCAGTTGAAAAGTGCCTAATTAAGTAAATCCAGAGACAGTAATACTGATAATAAGCTAGAGTCTAATTTGTTACATGCATTTGCAGATTTGAAGATAAAGGCCTGTCTGGGACCCAACAATAGGTTAAAATTGTCTTGAAATCCCCTCACATGGTAAGGTGAGGAGAAATATCGTAACTTAAGCTGTGTTTTATGACTTTGATCGGTTTTATGTCCTTCAGTGATGACACATCTCCATCTGTATGGAGAATTCAGACTCTTTACAGCAAGAATGCAAAATTAGGCCCCCCACATTTTATTCGATAAATGTTTCACTTGCAGGAAGAGATTGTTCTGTTCTGGGTATACAGATAATATCTTTAAGTGTAACATAGTATCTTGGTCCAATGTAGCACATGGTATTCTTCCCTTTGAAAATGCTATAGCTTCCACTCAGACATTTTATGGCTGAAAGTTGAAAGCGAGTGTGCGTATAGTATGAATGTATGTAGATATGCATGTAGTCCATATTTTCTTATGAACGTGTAGTTACAGGCTCCCGTAAAACTTGTTTGTGAAACATGTACCATTCCTGACTAGTAATGTCAAAGTTGTTGCAATGGCTTATTTCCATTAGTTGCAGCATCCTGTAATCTTAATAAGAACACAGCGACTTATATATCTGATAAAAACAGACAAACTCAAAATATGAATGAAAGAAAGCAGCTTAGGTTCAAGACTACTGATATTAACAGGCAACAATAATTTCACTCTTACTTTATTCCATGGCAATCTAGAAACACCACTCACAAAACCGCATTGCTGGCAAGTAAGGAAGATGCATCTACTGTAAAGCTAGGGAATAGCATTATTAGTCAAGCAAAGGCAAAGAAGAGTAAAAAAACCAATATTTTAATAAGGGGAGAAGTAAATAGAGATATAGACCAAAGGAGAGTGTAGTGTATCCCGCGTGTTTTTTGTCTGAGATTGTAAATTCTTTGGTGCAGAGATCGTTTTTCTATCCTGAGTTCAGATCTAACTCCAAGACTTCTCAAGCATTAAAGCCAGTTCTTTTCCTCCCAAGGGGTCGAAAAGAGCTGAAGGGCTGTACTGGCTATACTTCCTGGCGAATGCAGAATTGGGGGATAGTGATGGAGACTCTTTCATCTGTTCCACCCCCTTTCTGACTGACAACAGGAACTCAGAATGACAGCAGTGTTCATTGTGGTGTTACAGAGATAAAATATACTATAAAACCATGTCTGTTTTGCCTGCCGATCAGCTTCTTGCTATAAGCAACTGCCAGGTTTTCACATGCCTGCTCTCACACTGCCTGTGTTTGTCCAGCTCCGTAAAGTCTTGATTCTTATTGCTACCATTATACAAACAATACTCAGTAACAATGTGGCCTTTGATTTTGAAATGCTTAGAACAGTAACTTTTTTTGCAAAAACCTCAGCCAATGCATAGAAGTAAGAGCTGGTGCCACACAGGCTTTATTGACTTTAAGGATGTTGTTGGGTCCTGTATTTGACTTTTCAAAACCTAATTAAAGATTCGCTGCAATACACAGTGCTCCTTCGTACTTGTCTGGATGGGTAGTCTTCTACTGGTATGAGCTGAACAGCTTTTTGGGGCACACAGTGTGTCTTGCAGGACTGGGGCATTGAAAGTGCGCATAATAAACAGCATGCACACAGGTCCGTTAGTTACAGTGGCAGTTGTTAATATGTGCCAGCTTGGTATTTGTTTGCATATGCAACTGAAAGAGATCTGCTTGCAAGTACGCCTGTTTATTTACACAACACACTGTGAAAAGCCCAAAACTAAGGGAACATTATGGTTATATAGTTCAAATACTAAAAAGTTGGTGTGCCACCATAAATCTGCTCTTACATGACCATGTATCTATATTGCTGTTTCCTTGCCAAATTCACAGCAAAAACATTTATCCTGGAAGTTGCTGGAGTGAATGGGAATTGAAGTAATTTTGTGCTATATTACACTGTGTAAGGACTTTTTAAGTGTGTGACATGTTCTTCAAAGTTGTTTAAAAGCAGAAGTTTAGATTTAAATGAGAGACCATCTCATGGTGCAAAGTTAATATTTGATCTAAACAAGTTGTAATTCAGCCTTTAAAAAATGGGATTGCCTAAGTTTCTCTAGGGGAAAACAGCAAAAAGAAATATGCTATCTTTGCTTTTTTCTAGTCAAAATGCCAAGACAGCACCAGAGATGCGGAAGTAAAATTGCTTGGCATGGATGGATTATACATTAAAAATATTACAGAGCGCAGTCAAAGCGTCTCAAATTGCAGTAGTTCATTTAGATTCCTAGTTGCTACTTGGTTTACCTGAGTTCTGTTCTGAGTATTTAAACAGAATTTCTGTGGATGACACAGGCCTCATATTAGTGCTTTTTGTAAGGATATATTTCATCCTAGTTGCATAACTGTGAGCAGCTGCAGTCCATAATAAATGTAGTGTATGGCAATTGTTAAATAGACATTTCTCATTTACTGCGATGTAGCTGGCATATAAAAGGCAGAAAACAGTAACTAGGAAGCAGCTAGTAACTGTGTTCATTCACTGCATATATTTTTTCTATGTGAGATAAAAATGTTTTTCACTTCAAGGCAGCATGTATATGCTGACAGGAATTCAGTTTAAACATGAGATGCCATTGGTAAGAGCCCATTGACACAAACACAGGCTCACACCAAGTTGTGATCTCACTTTTTGGAATTTGTGACCTTTAGCTCCAGAAACATGGACATGGTAAGATAAGAAGAGCAGCTCTGCTAGCTTATCCATAGATAGGGAACTGATAAACACTTAAGTAGTTTGACATTCCATCCTCCAGAATGTAGGAATATGCGTTCATATAGTATAGTTACCGTGCAACTTCTAATGACTGTTATTTGCACACCTCATCATCAGCAAAAGCAACCTTACACATCAGTAAAGCCCATATGTCACGGGAATCAGCAAAATAGCTGTAGCAAAACAGTATAATTTAGAATGTCAGCAACTTTCTGAGTGATGAAGTAAAGAGAATGTCACTTTAATTTATAGGTCATCGCAGGTGCAGGGAACACCACTGAGGTACATGTGCAAGTATATCAATAACAATATTACCGTAACCTTCTAATGCATTGCAGAAGGAGCTCCCTCCTACCTAATCTCTTGTGCTTAAAAGCATTTTCAGTATCCACAGATATAATGAGCTTAGAAGACTGAAATAATCAATACTCTATGTTTTTCCTCATACACCGAAACAATTAATATAGGTTTGCAAAGTCTTTGTGGGTATATCATTACAGATATCAAGAGCTGCTACTGCTGATGAGGCAGTGCAACTTGTGGGAGGGGAGGTGTACGTCCCTGCAATGAGGCTTCTTCAGTGGTGGGTAATATACTGCTACCACAGAGGAATCAAAAGGGTAAGTATGCGTGATGCCAAATGATACTGAAAAGATTAAGTACTAGTGCTTGCCACTGCTACCACTTGCTCTAGCATACAGAAGAGGCAAGGGCCCAATAATTTCCTTTTTCCCATGATTTTCTGTGAGACTGCTTGTTCATTAGAACATGCAGTAGTGTAGCGCAGCGTGATGCACTGGGTAGGCCAGGGGTGAAGCTGCATAAATGAAGCTGGTTGATTGGGAGACCGAGGTGTTGGAACATACTAGAAAGTGCACCTGCCTTGAATGTAGAAATAGCCACAAAGAGTTGTATCTGTGAAACGAACACATTTCACTCTGCTAAGATGGAACTGGTCTTTTTTCTCATTCAAGTCAGTATCTCTTTTTATGTGAAAGGGATCAAGATTGGGCTTTTTATAATTCACTTAAAATAGCAAAAATCCAATGTAATATGCATTTTCCAATGATAATGACTTCACAACATTAATGAGTAAATACCTCTATACCATTTTGGAGAATTGCCACCATTAGGAAGTCTGATTTTTTCAAACAAAAGTCGGTATACTAGAAAAAGAAAGGTCAAAGGCAATTATTTTATCTAAACGATCATGACTATTTCTTTTGACAAGCATGGGGGAAAGATGATGCTGAGTGACCTGTGCACTAGACAAAACTTAGAGCAGTAGCTTGCAACAATGCATCATCACCTGTGACAGCTCCTTGGGGTGTGATAAAGGTTTTGATTCGTATTTCTTGATAAGAGGGGGGAAGAGACAGTACAGATTCTGCTGTAGAAACAGTTGAAAAAGACCAAACTACTCTGCTATTTGCTCCCTCCTGTTCCTTCTTTTCACCAACTGAATTCCCTGTGAAAAGAGCTAGGTGGAATACAAGGGAATGCAACTGAAAGTAAAAATG